TTGTTGTTTTAACCCTGGGAAAATGGTCCTTTCTATCCACAGGATATTAGGTTGGGCGTGTACCAGAGGCGTTTTGTAGAGAGAAATATCTATCCCTGCTGACAATCGACCCCCGAGACCCCTTGAATATGTAACCCAGGTCTCGTAAGCTAATTTTGCAAGCATTTCGTGTATTACCGTTAGGTTAGCTTGCTCAATAATGAGTGTTGTATAGTGAGGCGACCGTAAATGCTGTTTAGGGAAACAGCCTCTGTTTATTGTAAGAACCACACGAACACACAAATACACTCTGTGGGCAGAAAACTCAGCCCGTACCTCACAGGAAACCCATTGCGTCTCCGCTACAAAGCCCAACCGGTTAACGCTGTTTAGGGAAACAGCCTCTGTTTATTGTAAGAATCACACGAACACACAAATTCACTCTGTGGGCAGAAAACTCAGTCCGTGCCTCACCGGTTAATGCTGTTTAGGGAAACAGTCGCTGTTTATTGTGAGAACCACACGAACACACAAATACACTCTGTGGGCAGAAAACTCAGCCCGTACCTCACAGGAAACCCATTATGTTTCCGCTACAAAGCCCAACCGGTTAATGCTGTTTAGGGAAACAGTCGCTGTTTATTGTGAGAACCACACGAACACACAAATACACTCTGTGGGCAGAAAACTCAGACCGTACCTCACAGGAAACCCATTGCGTCTCCGCTACAAAGCCCAACCGGTTAGCGCTGTTTAGGGAAACAGCCTCTGTTTATTGTAAGAACCACACGAACACACAAATACACTGTGGGCAGAATTCAGAGTTTCAGTATGTTAAATTAAGTTGTACATGCAATAACTACTGGGCGATAGACAATGAAAACGAATTAGCCCTCTTTTGCTTACTACTGCACTCTCCGCACAATATGCAAGACAAAATTCTTGGGAATGAAAATGCTTGGAGCAGAGTGTTCTTGCGGCCTTGAAGACGTGACGGATGGAATTATATTTTTCTTGAAGAAACGCCATTATATTTCTGTAGGTTTATATAAATACTTTTGTCAAATTTATTCTCAAGCGAAACCAACAGCAGCTGGTGGTTTCGGCAAAAGAAAAGTTTCTCGAAATAGAACGCTAGCTGGAAGTTTGTATAATAGAATTACATGCCCTTTCATGATCGCTGGAGGAGAAAATTAGCAGTTTGTGATGCAAGGATGTTCTGTTTTACGAGTCATGTAGAATCGTAACTTTAAGAGTTCTGAATCCTTCACTCGTTCAAAGATGGCGTTTCCTTACGTCTGCATTTTTTCGTTTGGTTATGTCGAGAATATACAGCGTCAATGGTAGGATGGTTAGTGAAACTGAAGCAGCTATCTATCTGTCTATCTGTCTCTCTGTATGTCTGTGTATAGTTCTACAGCCCTTGTGGGCCTTGCCCGCTTTTCCTGTTTCTTAACCCTATACACAGTCGGTAAGACCCCTGGGATTCGAAGTCAAGTCCCGATTGTTCCAGCGTGCGAAGACGGCTCATGCCTTAGACTGCCCGGCCACAGCGATCGGCAAGTGAAGCAACTGGTGGATGAGAATTGGCAAGGGAAACTGAAGTACTTGGGGAAAACCCGCCCCAGTGCCTCCTTGTGCACTACAAATCCCACATGTCCTGACCTGGAATCGAACCCGGGCCCCCAGGTTGGGAGGCTGAGCTGTGACACGGCCCCTCAAGTTTATTATATAGTATATATCTGGAACACATAACAGGATGCAGCCAATGAAGGTATATTGTTGTGCTGACGGCTGACATAATTCCTGTATATCAGCCATTTGTTTTCATATAGCCTACATGTACACTAAGTACAGTTGTACTCTTAGCCACATCTAATTAGCATAATGATGTCAAGGAATATGAGATGGGCAGGGCAAGTCGCATGCATCGGGATAAGAGAAATGCATGCAGCGCTTTTATGGGAAATCCAGAAGGAAAAAGATAACTAAGAAGACCTAGACGCAAGTTGCGGATAATATTAAGTAATCAAAACTTAACAGCGTGCTTATGAGGACCCCAAATTTCGTCTTTAAATTGTGCCACTTTCACTTGACCACAAAATCAAAATCTCGCACCCCTTAAATGTAGAATTTACTATCTGACGTGAATCAGTGAATTCGTTCATGAAAACCCAGGCTAGTGAGCACTGCACAGATCCTTGATAACTTCCATGTTCGTAACCGTAGAGCCAGGCCGTAGTGTCTCTCTCTCTCGTTCATTCATGATATAAAAGTTTATTATTTTTTAAATCAGTATATTCTACTTGCTGTATTCATTCTTTATGTACAGGGAGGCCCAAAAGTCTGTTATTCGTTTAGTATTACATACACAACAGTAAGCGTGAAACTCCTTCATTACTCACAAAATTTTGAATAATTTTTCGAAATGAGATCCTCCTTGTCCAATGGGCGACTCATAGCGCTGTGTTGCCGTTCTACAAGTTGACTGGCCAGCTTAATTCCCCTTACTGCCAGAGAATTACTTAGGTTAACTAACATCTGGGCCGCCCTGAGGCATATGAAATTTTATTTCCACTTGATTTATACAGTCACTTTTAAATAACACACATTAAACAATACAGTATTCTGGGATTTCATAACTTGTAATCTTCTCCAAGTATAATTAGAATGATCAAGTCAAGGAAGATGGGGTGGCAGGGCATGTATCACGAACGGGGGAGACGAGGAATGCATATAGGATTTTTGTGGGAAAGCCAGAAGGAAAGCGACCACTCGGAAGACCAAGTTGTGGGTGTGTGGACAATATTAAAGTGGATCTTAGAGATATAGGATGGGATGGTATGGATTGGATTAATCTGGCTCATGACAGGGACAAGTGGAGGGCTCTTATGAACACTTCGGGTTCCATAAAATGCTGGGAAATTCTTGAGTAGCTGCAGAATTGGCTGCTCCTCCAGAAGGGCTCAGCTCCATAAGTAAGTAAGTATTGGGATAGGAGGCCATGTAATCCAGTATAAATTCACCGACGTTTCGAAGAGAAACACTGCCTCCCTCTTCACGGTCTAAGAGAAAGCCGAAGAAGTAACAAGCAAGAAACATAGGTAATTTGTACTGAGTCACATCCCTATAATCTTCGATGTCAGAATCTCTGATCAAAGATAATAAATATTTTATGTAATTGTTTACATAATGTACTTGATTCTGTAATCAAAGGTTATGATTTGGATCATGTTGCTGATGGCGGAAGAAAGGCATGCGCTTACAATGTTTAGAACAGTTTGCCGACGGAATATGTTACAGGTGAACTTTCAAAATGCTAAGTGACTTGCGTGTTATGAAACAGCTTTGAATTCCTTCATGATCGCTGTTACAGACGACCTGAAATATCCCAAGTGACAACTTCCTCATGGAGTAGCCGGGTCAGGCATTATGAATCAAAGGCCTCAGTCAGTACTTATAAAAAGTTCTTCGTGTTCCATTCAGAAGGAACTCTCCAAAGAATGGCTATTGTACTCTGGTATAAATAAGAATTTCAAAGAGACATTTGAACTATGCAAACCATTTTGGCTTGGGGCATGCTGTTGGGTTCAAAAGGTCCCTTTCGGCATGAATAAACGCCCAGTTCGGTGAATATCTTTGTAAGAGGTTAGATCTTCATACATTCATTGCGATAATTAATAGCTTTCATAAAATATATTACTAAGTAATAGTGTATGTATTTATTGCTGACGTTGTGTTATGTACACACAAGGCATACTCATACAATATGCAATTAAATGAAATGTGGGCCGATGCGGTTCGCTACACAAACAGAAAATATGCAGGAAACAATACTCGTGAAGTGAGTCGTCTTCTGCGATGTGACGCCGTGTAGTCCTGTAGAAGTCGGCGCGAAATTTCAAATGAAGGTACCGTCTCCTTCCTCAGTATTGAATGGAATGCTAAGCGAGAAAGCTGCAGTAGACTTCTACCGGACTGCACGGCGTTACGTGAGAACCTCGGATCCAACTAGAATACAGGTATAGGCTGTATTCTCTGTGAAAGGTAATGTTATTAGTGCTTCGCCTGAGTACTATGCCTCCACTTCCGGGTGAAAATGAGATAACTCACTTTCCTGATTTTTCGTACTGTGTTGCACCATACAGTAAACCGTCGCTAATCCGGAGTAATTGGGGGCACGGATCATCCGTGTTACTGAAGCAAAAGATTGCCCTAAAATGAAAAAAAAAAATAGAAAACAAATAAATGGAAAATTTAATAATATAGGTTGTGCTCATCAAGTCAAGGAGGATCAGGTGGGCAGGGCATGTAGCACGAATGGGAGAGAAGAGGAATGCATATAGGATTTTTGTGGGAAAACCAGAAGGAAAGAGACCACTGGGAAGGCCAAGGCGTAGGTGGGTGGATAATATTAAAATGGACCTTAGAGAAACAGGATAGGATGGTATGGATTGGATATATCTGGCTAAGGATAGGGGCCAGTGGAGGGCTTTTGTGAACACGGTAATGAACCTTTGGGTTCCATAAAATGCTGGGAAGTTCTTGAGTAGCTGCACAACTGGCGGATTCTCCTCAAGAAGGACTCAGCTCCATGAGTATTGCTATTTTTTTTTTATTGCTAGTGGGGTGGGACTAAGTCCCTTGTACTGCGGCCACTTCTGGCCTATTGTACCAGCCCCAGATGATAGGTGAGGGTGATTGTGGAGCAATTGGTGGAATGAAGATTGGCAAGGAAAACCGAGTACTCGGAGAAAACCTGCCCCAGCGTCACTTTGTCCACCACAAATCCCACTGGACCAGCCCCGGGATCGAACCCGGTCCGCCGCGGTGGGAAGCCAACGACTAGCCGCTTGAGCTATGGCGCGGCCAGCTCCATAAATAAGTAAGTAACAGGTTGTACTGGTGAAAGTAAATTTAAAAAATAATATTTAAAAACTATAAAGAGACAAGAAGCTGAAATCCAGGGTCTCCTTCATCCAGCTGAAGCCAATCTTGGATATTTTCTTGTGTGGTTTCAGAGTCTCCAGCTGCCCTCAACGCAGTCTTCTAAGAAGTGACGCCGTGTAGTCTGCTGAATCATTAACAGGGTTTCAATGGATCGTACTACCGCCATGTATGGGTTTCATACACCAACTCGGCTAAGAACACAAGGGAACTGAGTGCATATCCAGCAGCGAGCATCAGAAACGCTAATCTCATGTGAAGCAATGTGAAGACGAAGTACATGTGTTCACTTGCCTCATTCGCGTGTTCTCGTGACTTGTGGCAGTTTTCTAACCGTGTGTTCCACATTAGTTCTGACTTATATTTGTCGACAAGCCCGGATTCAAAACAACGGCGTAACAGGGCGTTCACTCGGTTCAGAAGGGGATTCCCCTTCGCAAAGTATATGGAAAGCCATGTCGTCACTACATGTTCGTCAACAGTACACACGTACTGTTTGTAGTTCCCGAATATCCCTTCTGTCGCCAAGAGATATTCCGTAAGCAGGGGAAGTCCTAGCGTTGCCACGTCACCGTGTCTTATCAGACGCATCAAACTGTGGGAATAATTCGGAGATATTTCACTGGGCATTTTTATTTTGTTGTAAGTCTCGTATGATGTGTAAAAAATCATTTGCTGCGCTAAATCAGGATTATATATTATTAAATTGGATTCGTTCATTTCTTTCAGTGTCGTGATCTGAGCTCCATATCCTGGCTGGGCGAGGTACGATATAAAATAGGACTGGAACACAGTGTTGATAGCAAAGCAGTACCACACGTAAGTCATGAACACCATTCTAAGTAAATGCGTTTGCGGTAACTTTGGGACGGACACACTTAAAAGAATTGCCCACGTCACTTGTAAACACTCCAGTAATGATAGATAAGCATTAGAATTAATTATAATAGACTGCCAAGGCGCGCGAGCCATAGCCCAAAAGGCTACAGACATCAGAATGAATACCAAAACAATTAGTAACCAAACATATGTCGTAAACATGGCTTTTATCTTTTCTAATCTGAGTGCGGGCTTAGGACAAGGCACAAACCATTCAGTGCTGGTAAACATGTACGGTATTGAGGGGTCACCCATAGAAGTGATAATAGGATCGAGCATTAGATTTCCTATCGCTATATCCGAAACGTCTTCATGTGTAACTTCAGAAATAGCTCTGGCGAACTGATCAAGCAGTTCTCCCTCAATGCCTGGCCGAAACTGGAGCGTCATGTTCATAGCTTCACTTAGAAGTAGAAGATATTCCATTTCGACTCCTCGATATTGTGTTCTCCCTGTGTCCGTGCTGTTTGGTATCATTATCACAGATGGAGGAAAATGTACAGTTGATATTATAACATTACATCCATTGAGATTCTGCAGAGATTTTGAAGGGGAATACCTAGCGTTTTTCACAAATATTCCCTTGTTTTCCTCAACAACCCATTTGTCAATGAGTACTACTTCATCCACATGACCGCACTGTTTTGATTCATAAGCAGACCACGTATACAAATTGAACACAGGACTTGACCTCTTTCTATATACGTTCACTGAAGTAGAGTTGGATGCATATCTGTGTTCACTTGGAGTTATGACCAGTGCGTCAGTAATTTTGTTACCTTTCCACATCAGCTTCACTATTTGCTTTGCGTAATTTCTTGGAGATAATTTCTCGTAACCAATGGCTACTATAATGAAAATTCCTCGTCTGTTAAATGACTCGAAATTTTCCTTGAGATTCTCCAACTGACTTCCCAGCGTATTATTAATATCTTTCTCTTCCTCAGGCCACACAAATATGACATATGTATGATGTTTGTGCGGAATGAAACTATTAACACTTTCGAGGTAAGCTCGCGAAATTAATACGGGCCACATCGTCCTTTTGTTTATGGCCTTAAGAAATGCACCCACCACTGTTAAGTAGCTGGTGTGGCGATTCAGGGGAGCAAGTGTCCGGTGATTGGTGATCTGTTCGTCGTTCGGCATTGACACAACCAAATTTTGTCCAGGTGATGAATGTTGAGTCAACACATTTTCCACGCATGACAGGAGTTGCTCTTCTTCTGAGGTCAGGAAAACGTTCGACGCCGTAAGGACTCCAAGCAGGGCCTCACAAAATATCAGGAAAAGTTTTCGTCTCATTATGGCCCAAATCGGCTCACAGGAGATGTCGCGAAAACTTCCGGTGCCGCTACGACTCAAGCAGTCTCCCACAAGTTATCAAGGGAACTTCCGGTGCCGCTACGACTGAAGCCCTCCCGCACAAGTTATCAGGGAACTTCTGGTGCCGCTACGACTCAAGCACTCCCGCACAAGTTATCAAGGGAACTTCTGGTGCCCCTACGACTCAAGCACTCCCGCACAAGTTATCAAGGGAACTTCTGGTGCCCCTACGACTCAAGCACTCCCGTAAAGTTATCAAGGGAATGCTCCACAAGCATCATCGGCAGCAGTTTCAATTTCTTGACTGAAACTCCCGCTGAATAGCCGTTATTTCTGAAAACTGTCACAGTTTATTTTAGAGCCATAAAATTACGGCGGATGAGAAGATAGGAATATAGAAATGCAGATATAATTTTACTGAAGAAGTCAGAACAGTTATATATCGCTATAAAGACACAGGCACATGTGAAAGGATAATATTAAAGTGGATTTTAAAGAAGTGAGATATAGATTGTACTAATCTGGCTGAAGTGAGAGTCCAGTATCGCGCTTTAATGAGAATGAGCCCAAGTCGGAGCGCCACACTTCAGTAGCCACTCTCGCGTCATGTTCTGAAGACACGCCGGAAGTTCCCATACGGCGGAAATGAAGATGCCAATTTGATATAGTACAGAGATAACGGGTTTATAGATGTCTATATTAAATTATTCATTAGAAGGATTACTGAATGCGTTGTTCTGTAATGCCATTAGCAGCTATGAGCATGCATGTATACGCACACCCACTTCCTATAAGCCGCATTATATTACGAACACAGATCATTGCAGACATATTTGTCACGTGTCCTGGTAACGCGATATGTAATTAGTGGCTTTCGGATTAGATACATCGATTTATTGGACAATTTCACCAGGCGGAACTACAGATAATTATAACGCACTCAAATTACTTTACCTATAGGACACAAAACAAGGTCTTCAACGTCTATTTGCTTGAATAAGGTCTGCCTCTCGAAAGCACGTTACTTCAATTCTGGCTTCTGGCTTCTGAACTCTTGACATCTCTGCGTCTGTTCATGAATGCGCTCTGTCTCCTATCTGCTTGGTCTGCCAGACAAAGGACACAGTTCATCCCTCCGTTGCTGTGAGAATAACTGTTTACCTAGCCGTTGTCTAGCAATGGACGCCCGATCTGACTCCGATATTCCTGCTTTTAGGCGGCACGTCACATTATAATGCACATGAGCCTGTCCATTAAATAACTGCAATTAAATTACCTATATGCATGAGTTCCGGTCTGGGAAACCGAAATTAACGGCCGTGGGGATCCGTTGCGCCGATAATATGACACCCTCTATCCGCTAAAGTTGGCACTAACTTCGCCTATAAGCGGCGGTCGCTCGGTCGGTATAGTTCGCTTGCGGACTACAGGCCACGGAGTTTGTTTTTTATATGCATGAGATTACACTCTTCGTGGGGGGGTGACACCGTTTAATCTGGTATTTCGTTAAGAACGTTTAGGAGGAACTTGTTGGAAATTTTTTTCGTCTAAGGTATAACGCCGTGTAGTGCGTTCAAAGTTAATAGAAGTTTCGGAGGAATATCCAGCTATGTTGGTGTCTTGTTTGGCGATATGTTCCTCCCAGACGTCTGTTGACTTTCAACGGACTACACGGCGTTATATCCCAGGAAATATAAATCTTCATAAGTACCGCTGTGAGAACCTGAAATCCTTCAACAGTAATTTGAACCACTGGTTCAGGATGGTATCGGTGGATGACTCTAGTCTTGTTGAAACCTGGAAATCTATTTTCTGGTGGCCACTGCGCGTGCTTTATATATGTACTTTACATTCTCAGTCATGATAATCACTGGCAGAACAGCCCTTTTTGAGCCATAGCCTTCCTCAAAAGATTGTGTCCGATTTTCACTTTTTTGATTTTCGCAACAGCCTTGCGCCTAACCTCCAACCTGGAGAACCAGGCCAACCACTGACAGGGTGGCCCAGTTACACCTCCAGGCACCAGGTTACCGTTCCGTTTCGTCACCTTTTACGACTCTCAAGACTACGGTGGAGGTATTCGAACCCGCCTCCATGCTGGGGCTACATTTTCAGTACATGCATTGTTTAACTGTTTATGCCTTTCCGTAAGTCAGGCTACATGGCATCATATGGTAGCATGATTTGGGAAGAAGTGGTAGCGGCCTGTTTGATGATACTGTCCCAGAATTTCCCTGGAGAGACGGAGGAGAACCATGAACATCTTCAGCCATGGTAGTCAGTGTCACGGCCTAGACTTTAACCGAGTACCATCCAGAATAGAAGCCAGAATGGTTACCGTCTGAGCCAGCGAGCTTGGTTCATGTTTAGACTACATGTAATTCTGTTATCTTGTATTATACCAATTCTTTAACGTGCCACCTTTTCCTTCGCTGGAAGACGTGAATAGTAATTCTATAGCTCAGTCAGTGAAGCGACGGGCTGGACAGCCGGGGTTCGATTCCCGTCAGAAGCAACATTTTTCTCTTCTCCACAGCATCCAGACCGGCTCTGGTGACCAAGAAAAGCGGCCGGAGCGAGAAGCAGACCACTCACCTCCTTCCAGTACTGAGGTCAAGAATGGCGGTATTGCACCTCCATTCCCCCATACACCTTCATGGCATAGCTCCTAATTAACTAAGCATAGAGAAGACTTTACTTTTTTGCGTATTTGTTTATATATTTAAGCTACATTTAATTTCATTCTACTGCATTACACCATTTATTTTACACACCGTGTTTTCTTCCACTGCAAGAACTCATGAATCATTCTGTGGCTCTTGTACCGCTGAGAATGACAGCACTTACGCACACAAACATGAATCGCTTGTGTGATTTGTGTAATATGTGCACGCGCGCATGCGTACTCGTGCAGAGGATATATAAATCCGATGTTTTTTTGAAAATGTTTC